CCAATAGAAGTGAAGTTGTTTGCTTCTAGAAACTCTTTTCAATGCCGTCTTGTACGTGGTACTTGCTTGTCTACGTAGATGTTGACTCTAGAATTGCCTGCAGGTGCATTAGAGACCAGTTCTGCGGTTTTCGCAATAGCACAGGTCTCAGCTGGAAATATACTGCAGTGATTCGGCAACTTAAAAGGTTGCCTTATGCCTAACTCTGGACAGTCTATCCCCGCACCAACCCATCCTCTATTTTCGTGCCATCCATGWAAATGTTTAGAGTGTTACTCACAACTAACATGCCTAAATCTTTTTCTATTTTCACTTTAAATATTCTTCCCCAGTTAAAAAGTGGGATTATGTGTTCGGGGTTGCTAGACCGCTAATACCTAACGAGCTATGCCCGAAGCTTCTATATGTAARYTCTCTTGCAGCCAGTAGTCGTCTCGCGGATTTTGCCGCGCAGTTTTCAGCGAAGGGGCTTTTAAGTGGCAGGTTTAGTACCAGTTAAAAGCCACCGGTTGAGTTGTTCTTAAAGCTCGCGTTATGCACAGCGACGCGAGCGTCTGAACCATTTTCATTGGCTTCCGGTAAGTGGAATCCGCACGGTCTTTCAATAGCTGTGTGGAAGCAGTGCATGAAAGAGGGAGAGAGCCGCCAGGTTCTTATTAGCATTTGCCTATACGCAATGCTTTATATGCTAGATTTTCTCATTCTTTCTTTAACGTTGTGCTTCCACAACAGTTYGCTGTCCAAGACTACGCCAGGTGCTTGGTAAGATCAAAAATTATAATAGTAATATACGGTCCGGGTTAAACCGAGTTTTTTCCTGTCCTCATATAGGGCCAGACAGAAAGCGACCGTCTTAGGTTGAAGGTCGGTCATTCGCAAATATCATTTTCCAGCGTCTCATTATCCCCCATCTTTGCATTCCGTTCTATCCAMTTTACTAATTATCTGAAGATGGGATCATAAGGGTATGTGCCTTATGATGATCCCTACAATGTAGAGTGGCGGCCGATCTTAAAGATTTCCCTGTCGARGAAGTGAAAAACTAGCGCGTATATGCATAGACTGACGGACAGACAAATTGACTCAGCTATTAACGTATACATACTTTATGAGATCTCCGCCGTTTCCTTCTAGGTGTTACAAATTTCGTGGAAAAATTTAAATAATATCGGCGTTTAAATATATCTTTGGTAAGGTTTGCTACCTGACATGTAAAGTTAGAGAGTCATGGTTATTTCTGATATAACTCCAAATCAAAAAACGTTTCGAAAGCGTTTCAAACTCTGTTAGTCCTACCATTTGTAAGATGAACTCGAGATGCAAATATAATTTGTAGTACAAACTCGGTCAAATATCTGCCCGTGTTTTGGAAAATACAAACGCAAATGAAAATAAAAATTACAATTTAAGACCAAATGGAAATTATAAATTTCGCGCTGCAATTCCCTGCTCCCTTTGTTGTTGTAGTTCAAAATTGTAATAAATATAAATTAAACGAATTTATGTGACTGCAGCTACACTTGCCGCAATTCAATTGAGATTTAGATTGTAAACACATAAAGTTATAACCACACACACGCACATATTGTRTTTTCGACTTATATCACTTTCTAAATATTCCCCTTAAAATCCAGTTAGACTAGATTCTTTTGTGTCGCAAATTTTTATTGAATTTTAATTTTGCGCTGAGGCGCCTCATTTAATTCCACGTTTGATTGAACTTTCTGTAATATGCACATTTTTGTTCTAAAAAATTGTAATGCAATGGGTTCAAATATGATTAMGTTGTTGTTGTAATTAATTAGTGCCACTTTTCAGCAATTGATGGCAACSCCTTTAATATATTTAACTAACCCACGTACATGGTCGATGAACGATCGATTGTAATGACCAGAAATAACCTCACTAATAAACAGAAAACACCTCACGCCTGACTTCAGCAGAAATATAAAGAGGGAGKCACCGCAAAGGTTAGTGTCACACAGCACTTTCGCCGAAAACTCTTCTTTCATTCGGATTTGTATACAACTCTCTTGCCTTAGTCGTCACTAAAGCCGCTCTTACCGTGTTTTTGAAAAGTCTTCTGCCCAAAGATCTGCTCTGAGTTAGCTCCGAGCAATACTACCAAGGTGGTGTCCCATTATTTTTCTGAATTTTCGGAGCACAGGAGCTTACAGGAGTAATTCTACAGACAGAGCTAAAAAGCTTCCTGCAGTAAAGTTCCCTATTTGTGTTCCTGAAGTTCCTTGAGTTAGCATCAAAGCCAAWTATTACTTCGGCTTTTCTTCGTCTKGCCTCTGCCATMGCACWTTTCAGCAGATCAGGAATTGGCTCATTGTCGTCATGCCGTACATAGGTCGATACAAGCCTATAGCTCAGAAGCAGCAGCATCCTCGTTGCTGAAATCAAGTATAAGAAAAACATTAAGTTCTTTTCTGGCTAACAAACAAGCTTTGGTTTTGTCTGCATTACTGGACTTCAAGATTCTGTCCACAATTCAGAGATACCGCTGCTCCTTAACCACGCTTCTTACAGGGTTTGTAAGGACAGTAAGAGGACTGAGTCGATTTAAAAAAAAWTTCCAGAATAGACTTGAGAGCCAAGTGCATGCTGCTTGGATCCTTTTTCATCGACTTTTTCAGGCAAGGAAAAAAAACAGAACAAGGGGGTGACCACATCTGGACTGTATGGCGGCTGCGGAAGCGTTGAGATGCCTTGATTAGGTAGCTGTTCACAAGAAAGGTGGTGTGAGCCGGAGCGTTGTCGTGTTGCAACTTCCAATCGCCTGCGATGTCTTGTCGGACCCATGTGGGTCTTTTGAGGACCTCCACGTAAAATTTGGCGTTGACAGTTTGTCCAGGAGGAACAAATTCATGGTGGACGATGACGCAGCCGCTCGTTCGTTAAGTAGAAACACCCTCTATCGAGAAACGTTGACATCGTCTCTTCCTGGACGAATCAAAAGATTGACGGAGTTAGCTTTTGCGTGTTGGGTACTAATTTYAAAAATATTCAGCCTCCAAACTATTCTCACAAACATTTTGAGATCCGCACCCTYGTTRTTACAGRCTGGAYYTTCTTTCAACAGGTGCTTGAGTCTGAAGACGAATCCATCGACTGACTTTTGGCGCCTCCTCTTCCTTCTCTTCCGTCACCACTGGGGGTAGCTGGTTTTTTCCCTGACTCTTATTGGGAGTCTCCATGGGACTATGCTATAGATTATGTTCCACTCATCATTTATGTATACTTAATATGAGTTGATTGAAATATGGTTAATGAACATATCAGAAGTTATTTTTAAAACTAAATGTTGCGAACCAAGCCAATGAAATAAGCGCAAAAAAATAAATTTGGGGTAAACCCGCTAATTATCAGAGTTTTGTATGAATCTGTAGTATGGAATAAGACTAGAAATAGCATGAATGTCTATATGTATGTGTATCTTGAAGACTAGAAATAGCATGAATGTCTATATGTATGTGTATCTTGTTTATATTTTGAACGACTTATAAAACTTGTCTATCATAAGCTTCGTTTTTTCTATTCTTTTTTGATTTTTTATTTTTATTAATGAAACAAAAATTTCATTATCTTCATTTGCTATTTAAAGAAAAACCGGTCACCGAYATTTGTCTGGGGTGCATTTGCGAGGCCATCAGCGGTTGCAATCGTACGACCACTTGTACTGGCGGSGTCTGTGGCCTCTTCCGCATCACTTGGCCCTACTGGTCTGATGGTGGTAAGCTGACGTTGAATGGCGAATCCCCAGATTCGGAAACAGGTATGTGTCTACCAACAACAATAATGAGGCAATAAGAAAAATGTTTCCCCTCATTTCTTTCCCACAGCATACCCGAACTGCGTAAATGACCCCTACTGCGCTGCGAATACCATACAGAATTATATGACTAAGTATGCACAGGATTGCAATGGCGACAACCAAGTGGATTGCTTTGATTATGCGGCCATACACAAGCTGGGCGGCTACGGCTGCAAGGGCGAATTGGGCTACAACTATCAGAACACGTTGTCGAACTGCTTGAATCTGTTTCAGGGTTAAATAACTAAACATTTAAAAAGTAAAGTAAAATTAAAAGTAAATAGCAGGTTACTCATTATTTCGGCTTGCTTTTATTTTAATTACATTTATTTARATTCTTCGAGAAGCTTTACTGTAATATCAAGTATGAATTTCATTTTATTTTAAACTAATCGTATGACATTTATTAATAAATAATTTTATTTCTATAAAATTTGTTTTTTTTTATTCCACAAAATCAAAAGATCATTTAGTTGCAGACAGTTAGACTGTTCGATAGTCAAAGATAGCCTTATGATCTTTAAAAGTGCTTACAAGAGGGAATGATTTAAGCAGTTAGAACAGTTAAAGAAAAAAACACAGAGATTTCAAATTTAATGAGGAATGTTTATTCTGATTCGAAAGAAAATTTTTTGGTATTTATTTTTTGTAGATTGTCTTTTTCAAACGTTGACTGTWGCTATTACTCATATGGTTCATCCAATGAGTCCAATTTTCGATGGCTCGTTCGAGCATTTCGACTGGTAACTGGCGAATGACACTTGTGATGTTTTGCTCAACGGCCTGTATAGAAGCGGAATTGTGCGCATAGAATTTAGGCTTCCCACAGGAAAAAGCCTAACKGTGTGATATCACACGATCTTGGTGGACAATCAACCGGCGCAAATTTGACTTGAAAATATCTGCTCACCGAAGAGTTTTCTTTAAATAAATTCATTAATTGATGCGATGYGTGGGAAGTGGCGCTGTCTTGTTAAAACCAAATGTCGCCGAAATCACGAGCTTCAATTTTAGTCATCAAATAGTCAGTTATCATGGCGCGATGACATTCTCATAGTTCTAGTGAGCATAGACACTCCTTGACTAACTTTGACCACATAGATAATGAGTTCAGCGTTAGTAATCTCGCACTGTTGTCGGTATGCATAGTCMTTTCTCTGAAAGAGGCCACATTGCTACCTTAATAGCATACACTTCTGCCTGAAAAACCCTACAGTGGTCTGAAAGTCTTAAGCTAAGATTGACAGCGGTCTTCCGGCAGGTAACTCCCCCTCCAAGCTTTCCTCTTAACTCAGCTTCATTCGTGAAAAAGCTCGCGGGGCGCCTCTTCTCTTGAAGGTGGAGAGAAATTTTGCGTGTTGGCAATGTGTATAATGCCATTATGGGCTATTGTTGGTATAGTCAGCAGTGCACCGAATACATACTAAAATATTATTCATCGAATACATCTTAAAATATTATTTTCCCCATAGCTCCTCAAAGCAATATAGGCAACCGAAGCTTTCTTTACTCTCACTTCAATAATTGGCTTCTATAAAAGTTTTTTTATAAGGGATAAGGCTTAGGTTTTTCAGCTTTAAACAGGTTGAAGGCGTGAGCCTCAGAATAAGAGGAGGGAAACGTCGCCCGTTTGAAAACCGCAGTCCTTAGAAGGTATTTATTTTACCATACGAGGAACGCTGTCAATTTGGCTACGACCTARCAGCTCATTATTCGAGCTCTATCAGGAGATTGCTTCTTTATCACTAGTGCAGCGGGGGCCCTCCTTCCTTCCTTCCGATATGTCTTTGCACCATTACACTCCGACACGACAATTCCGACGTATAGAATACTATATATGATGTGATTGAGGTTTAATTCCACCTTAAACTTTTCGAGTGCTCTAATCAGCGACTCCGACCGAACATTGTTGAAGTCTCTGTCTTTTTTGTAGGCACTCTGTTCACTCAACGATATGCTATGCCCACTGTGCAAGTGAATAAGGCTCTCCAACGTTTTCAACAGATAATAGATAGGATAATGAGACTGAAATTTTGAGTAGCTAATCAGTCTTTAAGCCTTCGGTAAATGTTCTATTCTAACACAGTTTGCGTGCTAGTCAGGGGCATTACACCTTGACTGTCTACTGCATATGCAATGGTATGGTGCCAGGGACTTAAAAGACTTGAATGAATTCAATACCAAGGTTAGGTACCGTCTTTAGGTCCACGAAAACTGCAAAGCCCTGCCAAAGCTCATCCAATGTCACTTCTTCAGCTTTAATGACTTCTTAAAACTTACAGACAGAAATAAAAACCTTGATCATGAGGATGGTTCAAGCCCTTGTCATGCGCGCTTGGAAGAGCTGATCGAAGCTTCATACAATACAGTTCTCAATTTGTGTTCCTGAAGTTCCCATAGGTTTTGCTTGCTGGACACGACAAAATACAATTAATGTATTTCTGATCAGGGAAAGAATGATCKCCTTGAACTCTTCATAACGTTATCAAGGGAAATAACTTCGGTCGAGCAGTGAGAAAGTCAATGACGATTTAGGTCTTTTGTTTTACTACGTTAAAGTTTTTAAGGGAATATCTGAAGTACTGTGTTACTTAGCTAATCTTCAATATAAAATTGCACCACCTAAAGTGATTCCACTTCTTATCATTCATCTTGATCCAACATGAGAATTAAACACTTTTCAATATATTTTATAACTAAATAACATGTTTTTATTGTTGTTCTTAATTTAACACTATATGTACTTGTAACATCAACTCCATTGCTTTTCATTTGAATACTTTCAATGTTACTGTTGCTGTTATTACTGTTGGCTTTTGCGTATGCAACAATGCATTATTACTTCAATTACATATTAACTAATTACTTAAAATTACATTGTCTTCTTTATATATTATTTCAGTATGTATATTATTGTATATATATATACATTTATATACATATGCTTATATTAACATATAGCTGATCTGCCTTGATTCGCCTTCAATTTYAGACACTTCATAGACACACGATTAATGGCTAATTTTTGTTGTATTTGTTTTTGCATTTGTAATCTCTTCATGTAATTGCAATAATTGTGTAGAATGTAGAATTCTGCTCGCCTTGTTTGCAGCTAATCGCAAAACATGTAAACATATGTAATTAATGATCACAAGTCATATGTGTTATATGAGCATACATATGTATGATTAACGGTCATTAACGTAAATATGTGTACACAAGTATATAC